ATAAAATAAATAAAAATATAAACGATATAAAAGAAGTTAGAAAAGTTATAAAAGAAAAGAAGTCGCCCTGGCCAGATAAATAAGCAAATATTGTTAACAATTAAAGTGACGTTTAAATAAAAAGGTCTTCGCCTGGCGCCGAAAAACAAATAACGACGGCGCCAGGCGGACCTCTCTGGGGAGCGCGTTCCATAGATTGGGCGCCACCGCAGAGAAAGCCCTCCTCCGAGTACCCACCCTCCTAATTTCTTTCACGGAGGGTTCCCGGAGAAGGGCCTCTCCCACAGATCTCAAGGGGCGGGCGGGCGTATATGGACGTAAGCACTCCTTCAGGTAGACCCTTTCTGTGGGAAGTTCCCAGCGCCACTCAGAAGCAGAGGCTCCAGCGTTCTTGTGGGGTGGGCCAGGGAATTATGCCTATACTGCCTGGAAACCCCATCCAGTTCAAGGGCCGAGAAATACTTGGACCAGTGCATACCTTGCTCTTCCCTCTGCGAAGACATTCAAGCCACCTGTCCTCTGGAACCAGCCAGGGCTCCTAGAAATCAAAAGAAAGAACCAGATGGACCATCGCAGAGGAAGAAGGAAGTCCGTCGACTGAGCCGTCACTCAGCCGGACTGACCCCATCGCCTCTCAGTAGCTACTTCAACAAAGGGGACCTCCCCCTCAAGGTGATGGAGACCATGAACGCAGTGAGGAGCAGAGGAGACCGCTTTTCCGGTCCCGACTGCTGCCCTGAAGCACCGCCAAAACAACAGGTGAGACGGGGGCTGTAGGGATGTGAGGGTCAGGCACCCCCCCCCACTTTAACCCTGCAGAAGCTCTGGGTTTGGCCCATTGCCTGGATCCAAGAGGCCACTAGCATTTCTTTCCCCCTCTGAGCTCAGTGGCAGCGTCCTGCAAAAATATGGGGGCAAGACAGGGTGATCGTCCGATGGCTGGCTTTGTGCGCAACCGGTTGAGGTCTCCAGTGAAAAGGACTTCAGGCAGGAGGCCTGGAAAACACCCCTCTCTGGGCAGGGGCTGCTGTCAGTTGTGGTGGCGGGCAGATCTTCCTCCATCTGGTGTCCTGCAGATGGCACACCTGGACGGTACTGGTTTAGGGAAGGCTCGGGGTAGCCAAGACACACACAGCCCGACCTGGAATAAGCCGGCTTGCAATGTTCCGGCTATGTGTGCTGATATGCACACTTCCAAGATTCATTTCCCCAACCTTTGCTTCAGAAACTTGTTACATATGCTGTTTTTCTGTCTTTCTCTCTTTTTAACCAACATGCAACCCCGCTAAAGACCATAAGGCACCATAAAACCAACGTGGTAGAGCAGAGATGAAGGACAATCCAGAAATCAAGGTTGCCTGGCATCATTAGCAGCCGAGGTAAGCAAGTGCATGGACGCTGGAAGCTGTGATGCCAGACACGGGGTCCTTCCTGACTGGCTGCAGGAACCCCACCACCTGTTCTTTTTGAGCCCCACCTGGGGATGCTGGAGATTCAGGGCCAGCCCAGGACCTTTTGCTGCCCGAGGCAAAGAACAAGGGGGCACCCCCACCTCATACAGCAAGGCCGACGGGCCTGCCAGAGGAAGCTGCCTTTGACCCTGATATTGGGACACATCTTCCACAATGCCTGGACATACCGAGGTAAACAGCTTAGGGGGCGCAGAGCAGGCTAAAGGGCTCCTCCAACACACTGTGCTGCCATCTTCCCACATTTTTTGCCCGAGAGAGCTGCCACTCTGTCCTACACGGAGTTAGCTCAGACACTGCTACACAGTGATCTGTCACAGAACCACAGCCCATTTCCCAGGGTGACTTTAATGGCTGCGGGAAACTCTCTGGGCTGTGAGCCCAGCAGATCCCAGTGGAAAAGGGTCTTTTTCCAAGTGGACATCAGTAGGATGCAGTGTGGTATTCCAGGCCTCATTCTCAGGATGAAAAGGATGGGGAAACCCTGTCTTTCAAATTCCTTTACAGTTAAAACAAATGAAACACTCTAGTATGATCCAGACACCCACCTCTACCTTTGCAAAATGTCCTAAGAGACATGTGTGTGCATATATTTAAACATATTTTTTCCTTAAAAATGACTTACCCTGGTTATTTCTTGGGAGATATTGTCCAAGTCTAAAGCAAGGATGTAATCTTTTGCTCCAACGTACAAAGTGTTGGTTTCTTCACTCACCAAGAGGGTAGAAAAATTGGACACTCCTGATTTCCAAAAAGTGATTAGATATTCAGCTTTAAGAAAGAAGAAAAAGAAAAAAAAACCTTAGCGATGTGCTAATATATGATTGAACAGGACTGTATCATTCGAAAGAGAAAGGCTATCTGTTTCTACTTTAAGTCAGATTCCCTTGTAACACTTTCAGTTTGGTTCAATAGTGTAGCCATATTCAAACAGAAGTATAAACTTGAAAACGCAGAATTATCTACCATTTCTTACAGCAATAAACTATTTTAAAGTGATTTATAGATGCATGCACACAAATACAGAAATTCACAATTAAGATTATGTCTGTACTGGAAAATATCCCATAGTCTTCACCATTTTAAGGGTCCAGCTCAGCTCTCTTTAAACAAACACAGAGTAAAACATAGTCTCTAGTCCTCAAGATTCTCAGGAAAAAAGAAAACCTTGAGAGCGCATCTGCAGCGATGTCCCACTGAAAATGACATCCAAGGCACACTTAGCCAAGCATTCGGAAAGTGGCCGGGAGTTGCTAAAAATCTCAAGGGTAAGACAGTTGTTTGCTTTTGTTTGTACCCCTCGTAACGGGATCCTATATAGCCCTTGCTATATAGGCTCCATGTAAACACTACAGCCAACGGGCTGATAGATGCATCGATAATAAAAATACAAGTAGCAATCATCAATAAAGAGGATGTATGTTGGTTTGGCTGTTCCATAAGTGCCATAGCCGTGAAGAAAACCAGAAATGTGAAACTTGGCACATATGCATGGGGGACCCTAAGGGCATGCAGCTCAAAGTTGTATTGTTTTCAGGACACAGCATGTAATTTTATTCTGATCAGTGTGTCCATGTGGTTGAAGCCCACTGTAACAGAGTGCGATGGTGCGGCTTGGTGTCCTGCAACAGCAGGGGTTGGACCTGATGGCTGCATAGCCCCTTTCAGCTCTACGATTCTATGATTTCAGACAAAGAGATTAGAAGATTAGAGATTAGAAGGCCAAAGAACGCTTTCCCCATTATTGTGAGGTAGTTTCATCTCAGGGGAATGGATAGGCATACCCCACTTGTGAGGGGCTGTAACGTGAGGGAATCTCTGGGACCGCCTACTGCCCATCCAGAGGCACTTGCCGAAAGAACGGTCTGGGTTCCTTGACCTTCTCTGTGGCCTCTGCCCCCCGGATGAGCGGTTTTCCAGCACATAAGTCCCCCCACCCCCCGCTGCATTCTGCCTGAGCTTTCTTCCGAAATTAAATGTTTTCTTCTCCCCGTCCATACAAACACGGGTACCCTTAGCAGACAGGGGCCTTTGCAGAGAAATTCTCTCTCTCACACACAGAGTTTAAGAATGCACATAACTCATCATGTGCAGATACATTCAATTTTTTCTCCCATGGGCCTAAGCCCCATAGCTTTTCATTTCCTAGTAACATCCTCGTTCTCTGGCCTAATTATATAAAAAGCTGCTTTTGCTGAATCACACCCAAGACCCAGTACAATAAAATACATACGGAGACCATCTATTCATAGAATGCTTACGTTGGTACGGCACAGTTTTTCTTGGTATGCCGTTCACAAGATCCCTCGTGACTAGCTGCAGGATCGTGCCCCAAAGGGCAACAAGGCAGAAGGGCAGGAAGCGACCCATGGTTTCCAGAAATGGTGCATCACGGACTCCCCCACCTCAGCTTGGTAGCATTAAACCCTCCAAGAGACAGAGGTGTTGCTGGCAACCTGATCTGCTGCACTATTTAAAGATGAAAGGCATTAAATTCATTGCAAAGGGTGCAGGATCCTAAAGCAACTAGCCCTCTCCGCACAGCAGAGGCATCTGCTGAAACTGGTATTTTCAGATAGGTGGTCCGCACTGGTTCATGTGCTGGGCCAGGGCTCAGGGTTGGGAAACTCACTGGGTGAGTTTGGGCCAGTCCCTGATCCTCAGCCTCACTAGCTCAAGGGCTGCTGTGGGGTAAAATGGAAAAGAGCAGAAGAATAATCTGCGCTGGGGGCGGGGGAGCAGGATTATAAAAGCAGCAGCAAAAGAAACCCAAGTGGCTTTTAAAAAAAATGTTTTCATCCTTTGCTTCTTATGGTTTTGTAAAAATTCACAATGAAAATTAACCCAAAACCCGTGACCATCCTTCCAAGAGTCCCCCACCTCATTATTTTCTTCATGACTGCCCCCCTACAAGCATCCATTTTTATTTCAGTTCAGGAATCCACCTCAGACAAGCCCCCCCTATTCTCCTTGGAGGATAACCTCTCCCAGCTTCTGTTTCCCACAGAAAATCCCAAAAGGGTCCTTTCAGGTAACACACCCCACACATCCCCTGATATTCTCCTTAGGAAACCCCTGCAGAGCGACCCCCGAGTTCCCACAGGACCCTCTACCCTAGTCCCCCTCTGATATTTCCTCAGGATGACCCTATAAAATATTTATGCATTTTTCTTTCATGGCCCCACATCCTCCTCAAGAGCCTCTCTTGCCCACCCTCTCATTTTCTGACGTGACCCCTATATTTCCTCCCAGGGACCCTCATTACCTCCCCACTCTTCCACTGTCTGGGTGAACAAAACCCCCAGCCCCCTTCCCAGGAAACCTCTTCACTCACCAGCCCTCTCTTCCCAGGTTGATCCTATACATTAACCTCATATTAATTATTAAAATTATTTATTTAAAACTTTTGTATGCCGTCACCACATGCCTTGGCATCTCGGGATGGCTCACAATATAGACAACTAAAAACCATAAAACAATATTTATCAATAACAAATTCCATAAAAGATTATATAAAAAACCCCGAAAACAAAAAGAGCGATGGTTAAGTATAAAATATACGTTTTTAAAATAGCAAGTAAATAAAAAGGTTTTAACCTGGCGCTGAAAAGAATATAAACTTGGCGCCAGGTGCACCTCTCCAGGGAGCGCGTTCCATATAGCTAATATTTATTTAGCTTATGTAGTTAATATATTACATTAAAATGCTGTGTTCTTCGGAAGGCGCCCCTTCCAATACCAGTCTAGTCAGGGAATCCCTGCCCCCTAAAAACTCTCCTTTCATGGGCCGAAGAGCCCCCCACCCTATTCCCCCTCAGGAAACCCCCCATTTGCCACTCTCTTTGTGACCTCATGTACCCCCATGCCGCCCCGGATATTTCCCACCCTCACATGCCCCCCTTTTCCAGGTCAATGACCCCCCCCCACACATCATTTGTCTATATCCTGTTTTTCCACTAAAAAGTGGCATCTCAGCAGCTACCCCAAATCGGAGCCCCCCCCCCACCATCCTTATTGACTCCCCTCATGTCCCCTCAGCACCCCAACCTGGGTTGCCTTCTCACAAACCCCTCCATGCTCTTATCCAGTGCCCCCAAACCTCCCTCAGGACCCCAGCCCCATGCCAAGCCCCTGCCCCTCATTGCCTCCCTCACTCCCCACACAACGAACCCCCCGTTGCCCCCTGTTGCCCACCCCCACCTCATCCGGACACTCCCCAACCCCAAATGACCCCAAAGAGGCAGTTGGGCCCACCTTAAATAGGCCCATGTGACCTGCCCCGCCCACCCTGGTTGGCCCCGCCCACCCTGGTTGGCCCCGCCCACCGCAGCTCAATGCTGCAGCCTGGTGTTTTGGAAGAACAATCATTTATTACTCTGTTGCTTTATTTAATGGCATATTCATATTACCCATCGCTTTATTTTTATTTAGATTTTGTTACATTTGTATATCGCCCCTTAGCCCATATGGCTCTCTGGGCAGTTTACAGAACAAAAATGTGTAACAAGGATAAAACATTGTTAACAACAAAGCTGCATTGGCAAGCTAATTCCTTTTTCAAGGATTTGTACATGAGGCTGAATCCCTTCTGTTTATTATTAAATGACATCCATTTCTACATTTCCTATTGTATTTTTAATTTCCTAAGGGAAAGGATTATCTCGGAACAATAGGGCTGCCGCCTCCCTCTTACTCTTCTATTAACGGGTCATATTGAGACAGTCCCACCAATAATTAGGGGGTCCAGTCAAATGAGTGCAAAAAATGAGTCATTACCAATTTATATTTCACTCTTATCCATGGAAATTATAGTAAACATAGACAATATAGATAATAATAAATAGTCACACAACACTCAACGTGGTACAGTGAGGGCATGCCAGTTGTATGACTTTTGCCTGTCGAACAAAGCACAGTAATGCATCCCAAATCTTTTAATTAAATATTTTAATTAAAGCCTAAACAATAGTAAAAAGGGTAAAGGTGAGATGAACAAATAAATAAATAAATGTTAGAGTTATGGAAGAAAACTATTATCCATAATACTACATATGCTAAACATTATACATCTCTGTGTATTTTATATGTGGCAAGCTTTTTCGGTAAAAGTGATTATGCATGATTATAAATTGTCCTTGTTTTTTTCTTATTGTGATGTTGGGTTTTGTTTTATATTTTAAATGTTTGTTTTATATTTTAACATCCAGATATTTGTCCATTTGTAAATTACACCAAGGACCACCTGCTCAAAAATCAAAAGTTTTGTTAAATCGTTCACCCGTTGTGTTGATGCAGGTGACGGCTTCAAATGTTGCCCTTCAAATGTTTAATCTCTCAGCTGTCAAAGGGGCATGGAAAATCCATTTGCACTGACCTTGCGCTAGGTTCCACAAGATGGGTAGATAATTAAAAATGACGTGTGCATCGCTGAATATTAAAGAACTAACTTCCCATCACAAAATTCATCCACATTATTACCTTCTCCCAAAACGAAGCAGGCCGTTGGCCATTGCCAAGATGCATGAAAAGATGCATTAGCTGCATTATGCCTCCAACAACTGACTGTCTGAATTACGCCCTTGTCAAATAGATACTGTGATATCCAGCAAACAAACTCAAAACATCAAATTTTGCTGAATTAAACATAACCTCAACTTCCTTTATGCCTTCTGAAATAGATGACACTGCAGATCACCAATGAATGGGCACCACGTCCTTCAATTCTCATCTAAGGACCTGTTAATAATTTTTATTCACAAATAACAACAGTTTATACACTAGACAGTGGGCTGAAGTAGCTGCTCAGCCGGAAATCTAGGGCCAAGCCCAGATGCTAACAGATGTTTTCACTGCATCTACTGCCATGCAGCTGGAGATGGGCATTTATCATTACATTACATATTTGAAAAATAGCAAAAAGTCATTGCTAGGACCAGCGGATGAGCCAACATTAAATCAGTTCTGTCTGTCCAAACAAATACTTTCATACCAGTCGTAAGCCTTGTAAAGTTAATTTCGCATGTGAAAATAGGTACTGCAGATCTTAGGAGTACTTTCAGTTTAAGTGTAGAGGGCAACCTTTTTTGGAATCCGTTTGGAAAAGAGCTGCAAACATGCAGATGATTCATGTATTTTTTAATTTATAAATTGCAATATATAGGACTCTATAGACTATAGAACTGAGGACAAAAATCTAATCTGAGAGGAAAGGAATAGGCCTAATGATACACAGAAGGACTGGGTAAGCCAAATACACCCTCAATAGCCATCTATCCTTTTCCAGGATATCCGTAGCAGAGTGAAACACTTACAAAACATGAAGCTTCTAACAATCCTTACAAGCATAAACAAAGAAACACCACACAAAACAAACAATTTGAGTTATTGCATCCATTTTAAGTAGGTTTATCTTATTCCTTAAGAGTTCTCCTCTATCAATGTCCCATGAGATCTCATTAAATTAAACTTGCATGAGTTGATTTCATCATTCGAGCTCCTTAATTGGGCCTGGTCCAAACTAATACGTTTGCTTTATTGACATTCGTATTGCTAATTATTAGTCTACTTAGTTAAGCCACTTAAAACCATATTTCAAAGGCTCCGGAAGAAGTCTAGTATTAAGGACCTGAAACCGTTCTAGGTAACTCCTGGAATGCCATTATCTGCAGTTATCAATTGCTACTTTTCCATGGCTGCCCTTATATAGTTATCTTTGGCATGGGAAAGATTTTCTTGGCACAGAATGTTCTAATGTTTTCCAGTGCTGCGATATATATATTCAGTATTGAACAGGCAGTAAGTGCAAGCGAATCACAGAGGTTCTTCTTGCAAAACCATCAACTTTAGGGAGGTGTTTGGTGGCAGCTTGAAAGGCCTTCTTGGTGGCTGCCCCAACTCCAGAATTCCCTGGTGTGCTTCTATTTAAAAATGCACTTTAAGAGGGTAAGTTGAACCAGGTGCTTTCTTTTAATACTATACTTATGCTGCATGGAAATATAATCCTTTGCTCTAATCAGTGTTAAGCTGCCCAGAGAACCTTTGGGTTAAGGGGCAGCACAGAAGTGGAATGGAATAAATAAAAGGTTAATTCGGCCTGCCAGCCAACTTGAGTGCCTGTTTGGGGTAAAACGGCTGGGTACAAATTAAATAAGACTTTTCCCTTCAAAGTACTTCAGCAGTATGTCTCATACTGCCACACTGTGGTATATTTGTTTCAAAACGTGAACTCCCCCCCCCCCCCCCCCACAGCAACTCAGAGCAGACTCTCCCATTGACTCATGCACAACCTGGCAAGCAACAGAAGTTCAAAACACTGTAGACTGAAAACTTCCTATTTTTACTCATTTTGCTCTAAAATATTTGCTTCCAGTTTCACCAGAGTGGAGTCCCTCGGAACATCCATTTCCCCTCCAGCTCACATTTCTGCTTCACTACGGCCACTTTGCATTTTCCGGTTCTGTGGGCCGAGTCTGGTATCATGTCCTCTTAGGTAATTGTGTGTACACTGGGGAGAGAGAACAACGAGCCAATGGGTGTTCTGGGAAGGCTGCTTACATGAGGTGGCCTGAGGTGGTGAGTATGGGGCTAACCAACCCAAAGGGGGCAAAAGCCATACTTAAGGCTCAGCTGCGCACCGCTGCTTGGTGGAGTCATACACAAAGAACTTAGGCCTCGTTTCCACCACCACTTGGCGCTCTCCCCAAGGCCAACCTGTCTGCAGTCCTGCCTCTCCAGGAAAACTAGTCTGTCCAAGACCACGGGCGACAACTTTGTCCATAGCAGAGCCTGAACCCTGGCCTCACCAGCCCCTGACAATGCTCAGCACTCACCACAACAGAAGCAGAAGAGAACGTCGCAGGCCGACGGCAAGCAGGACATCAGGGCGATTCCGGAGTGGAGAAACCGCCGCCCTGCCAGTAGCAGCGGCGCTCGGAATGTGTTTCTCATTCCATCTCCTCCGTCAGGAAGGAAATAAAAAATGGCAAGGCCTAAAAGACACAGCAACCCCAGGCCGATTCTGCAGGTGTGTCACAGGAACAAGCAGGCTGTTGGGACCCGCAGCCACCCTGCCATGGCCACCAAACCTCCCCTCGTGCACCCTGCAGCCAGTCAAGCATGTACAGCAGTGGCACTTTTGCAGCTGCAGCAAACAGGGCTTCTGGTGTTGCCTTGCCCTTGAGCTTCTCTCCCCGGTGCTTCCACGGCCCCCTCAGCCCTTCGGAGCAGCTGGAAGGTATCAGTCATTTTTTTCTTTGTCAAGGCCAGCATTGCAGCTCTTCAGGGAAGCCCCCAGATCTGACCAGGCAACCCAGAGCTGCAGGTCATCATCTTCTTGCCTATTACTAAGCAGTTGAATATTTGGTGAATACTACTGAAGAGCTGATAAAAGGTCATTTAAAATGGCATGCATCTAGTGTTTGCGGCAAAACCAGGCACCTGATCCGTTATTCCAAGTGGTCCGGAAACATCCCTGTGAAAGCTCCTCACCAAACAGCCATTCCAGCCGGCTGCAGGGGGAAAGGGAAAGAAAGAACATGAGAGAAGATGTACAAGGAGCGTGCTTTGGCAGCCAAGACACCTCACTGAGAAATGAAAATATGGATAAATATAGACAAGATCAGTGGCAGTGTTGATTCCCTGAAAAGGTCAGGAGGTGTTTCATGGGCCTCCAAAGGTGTCCGGGCAAACAGTGTGTCATTTCTTCTCTCCACTGCAAAAACAGACAACACGTTGTGCCCTGGAGTTTAGGAGTCCCTCCTTCCCACAACTGCAAAGTCCATCAGGATACACAGGCCGTCTTGGAAGTGAAACTCTTCAATAAGTTGAGCGGTTTCTTTTTCGCAGCGATAGAAGTCCTTCACTACAGGATAACTGGAGAAGGGCACCCTGGAGGCATTTCCTGACACTCTTCCTAACCAGCTGAAGACCTTGGTATGGCTGCAAAAAGCCACCCCGGCTTTTGGGCACTGGAAAAGTTCACTCCACTACCAGGTGAACCTTAACCTGCTCACTCTTCTTCTGGGAAAGCCCATCCAATACCCCAAGAGAATTAACTCCCCCCGTTCCATCCCCCTTTCCTTTTTCCTTGCATGTTGTGTCTTCTTGGACTATAAGCCTGTCTTGTTTGATGGATGGATTGTAAGCTGGACGCCTTCTGGGCTGAGAAGTGGCGTTAAGAAAAACTGCAAATAAAGGGCAACTCTGTGGAGGGTGGGGTCTGTGGGGCCACGCAAAGGTCTCTGTGCGCAAGTACAGATGTCGTGGCGGGTGAACGCCCAAGCCCAAGCGAATGTTACCACAGCAGAGGTGGCTATCCTGTCCCCCTACCTCAGCCAAAGAAGGAGTAACTGTAAGGAATCTGGCTTGTCTCAAACAACTCTCAGAAGTATTGAGTTTGCTGTTCTTCCTCCCAAACTCCTTTTGGTGCCATGTCTTTTTGATGGCAAGCTTAAAGGCAAAGCTTGGCATCAAAAAGACATGAAATTCTTCACTGCCCTAACGGCTGACTGGGGAATGCTGAGAATTCTTCTTTTCTGCCTGAATATAATCTAGGATTCCGCCTTAGGGTAATCCAGCAACCTTTGCTGATTAAAGGGGGAGATAAAAATGATGGGATATGCCGGGCTAACATCCCAGAAACTGAAGCAATTGAAGCAGGACGGAGAAAGAAGTTGGATTGTTTTTTCATATATGTTTATTGTGCACAAAAAAAAGGAAAAAGGATTACATTTCATTAAACATTAAGAAATGTCCACTCATCCAGTGACTAACAAAATTCTATTCATTACCTTGTCAATACTGTTCAATGCCACAGTAGAAAAAAATTAAAGCCTCAATTATGCTTGAGGAGCATGAAAATAAAAAAATAATGGATGACATTCCAAACCAAAAGGGATACAGGAGAAATACACAGGCCCTAGTGACACGAGTGAATAGGACTCTTGGGTGCTTGGAGATCTTCATTACAGAATCCCTGAAAAACTGGAACAATAGAAAAACGAGTGAACAGTTAGGGAAACCAAGTGGCATTTTTTTTTCAAACTTGCATATGCATTCAGATGTTCCCTGGCAGACGTGACCTGCAGAAGCAGGTTATATACATACACCAAGAAAGCAGCAAATCTCAAGCTGAGAAAGGCGAGCTTTCAAGGTGAGACTGGAAAGCGAGACTGGATAATAAGAAGCACCAGTGTTGCTCTGTTACACCTTGTCCCAAACCAATTCTGCACACCAGTAACCATGGTTACTTGGGATGGCTGGAGATTAGGGTATCTCCCCAGTCCACCCCTAGAACTGCCGTTCATCTTTTAAGGAACTCCAAAAATTCCTTCTGCTGCCAGGGCTGTGGGACATGTCATCCCACTGACATCTCAGGTTCAAGAACCAATTCTTCCCCCAGTCTGGATACAGATTCTAAACTAAATGGGACAGACTCAGGCCAAAAAGGTTCCGGGAAATGCAGACCTCCCCCAATACCAAAATGTAGGAAAATTCATCTGGAGATACATCTTGGTTTTGGCATGCTCTGAAGGCAAGAGAGAACATGGTTTGAGCAACATGAGAGAACGGGGAGACTGGGCTGCAGATATTAAAAAAAACACTCCACACAAACACATGTGAAAAAGAGTATGGTTCGCCAGACCAAAGTTGTTCAACCCATTTATGGGTGCAAGAAATGCAACTCACGGGTCAAAACAGGCACTGCGATGACTGCTCAGATTGGACAAAGTGTGTAGGGTTCATTTATGCATGTGAAAGAGAAAAGCAAATATTCCTTTGAATTAGGTGCTAGGATAGAAAAAAGGAGAGAGGCCAGTAAGTGGATGTTAAGGCAGCATCTGATTAGTCAAACTGGATCCAACAGGATGAGAGTTTTGAGAGTGTGGCTCAACGTCCTGGAAGAAATAGCAACCGTTTCAGCTCCAGCAATGCTGAAGCAGCTGATTCAGCTTTTACTTCTCAGAAAGGTGCAGAAATCCAACTCCTGCGATTGAGAATATCAATCTCCGCCTGGATTCTACGCTGTACTCTCTTGCCTGCAGTGTCCTGAAAAGCACTGAAAAGTGGCCAGGAATTGCATCCAACTACAGCGATCCAGGACTCCATGCCAAAAACATGCTGTTTATACAAAACCCACAGAAAAGCTGGGTTGTAAGAAAAGGAGCTCCAGGTGGAAGAGAGAGGTGGAAGATATATTTTCTCCTGTCGACAAGATGAAGAAGTCCTCCTGCAGACAGGCATGGGAAGGCCAAAGGAAAGATTTGATAGCAGAAGTGTTATTTAAGAACTCCAGAGAAGTACATTTAAACTCAGCATTCGGAACAGTTTTCCATTCAATAGCAGAATACTGAACGAGTTAAGTTCTTAAGAAGGGCTTTCTCTAGCTTGTCTTAGTAGCCAAGATGTTATCGTTTGTCAGAGTCTCTGCTCTCATGCTGGAAGTGACAGTGAAACACAGATGGTGGGATGAGAAAATGGAAGCAATCTCAGAATGGGCTGATCACCCCCTCCAAAACACCGGTGTCATGGATCCTTCAGAGTGGCAACTGGAAGACACAACTGTTAGACAGCTGGAAGCCATACTGGACTATGCAGTGGTTTATTCTGTGGTGGCAAGACCAAGTGAAGGACCCAGGAAACTGGCCCAGGAACATAGATGAGATTCATGTTAGCCAAACATGTTAAGAGACTGGTTCCTATTTGATCCTTCTGGTGTTCAATGGACGGATTAAGCACCAGAAGATGCTGAGACAAATTCCTGTCCCAGAGGCAAAGTGATACAAAAGAAAGTTTAAGGAATATAAAGTTTAATGTTCTGCGATCCTGAAAAAAGTGAGAAGATGCAGCAATCACCATGGGAATGAGAACTGGAATCCTATGCAGGATCGACGGATCATAAATTCTTGCTGAGGGGCGGCGGGCCTTGGAGGGGAAGTGGGGCCGGTCCTCCTGCATCCGAAGAATGGATGACTTCTCCTAGGGTGTGAGGAATTTTAAATACTGCAGCTCTTCAAATGTGCCCAAAAGTTAAACATTCCAAAATGAGGGCTTTTTTTCCTTGTGAGATGCCCTACCAGACAGCAGTAAAAGGCACCCTACTAATCATTATTTGGTTCAAAAGTGATTCTAGACTTTCCAAATGAAAGCACAAACATCGAACAAGAGTGGAAAATCCAGAGAACCTACCTGAGAACACCTGGCAATGCCTCTATGCTGGGTACAAAGGCAGCATTTCAGAGCTCAAATGCATGTTCTATCTTCATTTAAATGAACAACCTTTAGCAATAATTCAAAAGTAAACCAACTGGCCCATTCTACGCACCTACCTATTTATTAGCTCTTTTCAAGTAGTACATCTGGATCATCCTCTGACGGAAAGAAGCAAAGCTGTCTTCTTTCTTCTCTTCCCCTGTAACACCCAAACCCTCCCCTGCTGAGGTTGAGCCCCTAGAGAAGGCAAGAAAAAAAAATACACGGAGGGTTAGCACGGCGGGATTATTCGGAGCTTCTGCTCGCTGTCTTGGTCTTCTTACCTAGGAAACCCTGAAGGATGCTGTCTGGAAGCGGACAGGCTGACTCCGACAGGGCAGGCCATGGCTCTCCCCTGTACCTTCGGAGGGGTGGTTCCCATCTCTGCAGCAGAGGCAGGATGGAACTGAGCCATGGGCTTAGTGTGCGTGAGCCAAGAGCTCTGCTCCTGCTGGACAGATAACGCTGCCTCATGGACTGATAAACCGTTTCTGCTCTCATTTCCGAATAGATTTGAGAAAGGCCAGTGGAAGTTGCCGGACAGCAAGGCAGGTCCTCAGGTTAGCAGTGGCTGTCCAGGGCAGCTTTCTTCAACAGGGTCCTTTTCAACTGGGAGGTGCCAGGAGTCACAGCTGGGGGCGTGTGGGTGGAAAGCGGCTGAGGATCCCTGATGGACGGGGGAGCAGGCTGTATGGGCAGTCACCAGCACCTCCACCCAAGGTGACCCGAGGCTTGCGGGAGGAGCCAACCTCTCAAGAAGCGGGGAGGACTGGGCACAGACAGCAGAACAGGGAGGCTGAGGCAGGTGAGGGCAATCCAGCCATGGCATGAACAGCAAGGTGGGAAAACTCAGTCAAGGCGGAAGCTCTCTCGTGCAACAGAGAGTCTCTCTCTGGTCCATGGAGAGCCCAGGGTGAGGTTGGCTGGCTGGGATTCTTCTGAGAGCACTACAGGGGAATGTTGTCTCAGCAGTGAGTCAAAGCCACTGAAAGCTTTTTGCAGGCAGCTCTGTTCTGGTGGTTAAAAGTCCCACACCTGATTTCATGGTCTCAGATTTCTGTGCGGCAGAGAAAACAAGAGATTCTCTACTGACTCAGGGAAGGAAAGCAAGGCTGGCGAGTCTTTGAAAGAACAGTCTGTCGCTTGTCTTCATTAGTCTTCTTGTGCTCTCAAACCTCATGCCTCAGGTTCTGACTTTGTACAGGACAGTTTCCAATGTCCCAGTTAGAGATCTTCATTTTAAAACTGGTGCAGGGAGTCTACTGATGAACTACTAAGAGGTGATCTGATTTTGAGAAGAGGATTAAAGAGCTGTTCTCTTCATCAAGAACAGGTGAAAACCCCTGTGCATGCACGCACCTTTTATAGACTAGGATTTGGGAAAAGCTCCGTCTTCATTTTGGCACCAAAGAAAGTCTGATGGGTTGCAAAGGAAGGTCATGGTAGCATTCAGACTAAGCTGAGGTATCGGTGGCCCGACAGAGGGTGCTGGACTCCAAGCCCCATCATCCCCTGAATCTGCGGCAGAGGGTACACTTGGCTGGGTAAAGCTGGGTTCAGAGGATCCCTGGCAGGCAGAAGACTGGGTTGGGGGGATTCTTGACGAGGCAGCGCAGGGCCTTCTAATTAAGAGAAGCCATGGCAGATGCGGCGAATACTCACCCTTCCAAACCGAGGAAACAAACCCTGTGGCATTTCGCAGTTCCTTTACTCACCCTGATTAAGCACTGCGGCACTCAACCCCTTTTCCAGGATTCCTGTTTAACTTTTGATGCGACACGCCCTACTTCCTGGTATTTTTTAAAGGAAAAAGTATTGGGGGAATGGAGGGAAATGCCGCGTAAGACGCTGAAATGGGAACTGCCCTGGGTGGATGGCATAGGGGCAGCGCCCTCCTGCGGTGGGCACTCCTCCTGCCACGGGACACTTCCTTCGGCAGAGAGATGTCCCACTTTCCAGTGGCTACCACAGAGTTCCACCCACAGGAATAACCCTGAATGGAAGCAGAGCCTTTTCCTCCTTGCTGAGATGGTCTAACTCAGGGGTGTGTGGCCAGGTGATTGCCGCTGGACTACATCCTTCATGACCTGTGCAGGTGGGGGCGGAGGGAAGCTGGAGTCCAGCCCCCTCAGAAGGTGTGGGCACCCTAATTCCCCATGCCTGGCACTTTTCCAGAAGTAGCCTACACCCCCGCTGGGAACAGAGCGTGGCACCGCTCGTAAGAGAGGGCGACGGTGCCGAGACAAGGCAGTACGTACACTTTCACTGGGTCCGTGATGCCCTTGCCGTGTAGGCCGAGGCCCAGTCCTTCTTGCCAGCCCATTTTCTGGAGCATTTGGAAGCCAATGTTCTTCTGGTTCAGCCTCTTGTGCTGGAATTCCAAGTCCTTTGATTTCTGCGAGGACAAAAGGGAAAGAAACCGTCGTCGTGTGCCAGAGCCCCAGAGCCCAGCCGGGCCCTCCCCGGCTGGCAGGCCTCCAAAGCTGCAGGATGGCCACTCCCACCTTTCCCAGACTGGCTGTACCTACAAAACACAAACACAAAAGGGCGGCAAAATTAAGGCACAAAAACCGCCTTTTGGAATAGGTGTCCTCTCCCGGGCTACTGGCCATGGGGCCTGTTTGCACGCGTGGAGGCCCAAGGGTGCACTGGCCTGCAGGAGGCTGTGCGTATGCAGAACGGTGCTCTATCCCACCAGGGGCGATGCGGAGGAAAACCACAGAGAATTGCACCTCCCCTGAAGAAGTGGGCCCAAGCAAAACGAAGCTGATATGCAAAAGATTTTAGCGGCAGCTGCCTTAAAAATGAAGTTAGAAACCGCAATGCGGGCAACACCTTACCTTCCTATTTTTATATGGCGAATAGCCACAGGGTCGGTCATAAGCGATCCGGACGGGGTCGTGGACTGAAAGGCAAAAGGACAACCCCAAGTCATTCCGGACACCACCCACCGAAGCGTCCCACTGGCTTCCGACACCCTCCTGTTCTGGACTCCAACTTCTACCAGCCTGGCTCAGGGATGGGGGCAGGGGAACGGCAAAATGTGATATTCAAACGATGCGAGGGGGGAGATTCTCACAGTGATGCCTCAGTGACCGACCGGCCCCTCACTCACCTTTGGGCTCGTCGATGAGGCAGACCCTCTTCGACGCAGGAATCAGGCCAACTTTCAGGGATTTGCTGCTGACCCTCTTGCGCCTGAAGGGGGTGCCCTGGGGAGGGACCTGCAGGGGGGTCTGCACGGAGGCAGCCACCCCGCACACCGTGCTGGCCCGCTCTCCCTCAGCGGCCGGCGGGGCCTCCGCTTTCGCCGTGGGCTCTTCTTCCGTTTCCTCGCCTGTCGTCGCCGTCTCTTCCTCGTCGTCCGCTTCCTCCACGTCAGTGGGAAGGGTCTCATCCGTCTCACCCGAGTTCTCCCAGTCAGGCGTGGCAGGCTCCAAGGCCTTCGCGGGTTCTGGCCGGGTGCCGAAACTGATGGAGGGGCACAGCTCGCGGACCTTCATGCGGTAGAACTGGAAGGCGGAGCTCTGCTGATCCTGCAGGAACCTGGGGATTTTGACAGTGCAGTAAGGCGCTTCTGCCCCAGCCTTCCCCCTCATCGCCAGGACGGAGCAAACACGGCGTCGCCACAGAGACGCCCGGCCAGGTCACTCTTACAACTGCTGGGTGGTGGCTGGGGGGGGGGGGGGTCTGTGCAAAGCCACGGCTCGTCCAAGCACTAAGGAGCGTCGTGGTTGTGCAAGGAGCTGCACGTTCTGGTGAGAAGCTGCCAGGCTGGGCTTGCAGGCCACTGGCTCTCCGTTCCACGTGAGTTGCATCGAGACTCCAGCCTGATTCCCTGCTCATGAGGGAAGGAGCTTGGGGAGCCGCTGTTGTGGCTTGCGGCACACACCCTTCTTTGCTGCTTCACAGGGACACTGTCCGCTGCCGGTTGCTCACGGGTCAGGACCCGAATCTACCCAGGAGGTGGCGAGCAGAACCAGGTCCGCACGACTTCACAGCTTTTCTCCCAAACCAGGGTTAGCGGCTTCCGTTCCCCACCCGCCACCCCACTCACTGCTGGAGACAATGCCCCGCAGTGGCTGAAACGGGCACGGCCCGCTGGCAGTCCCCTGCCACTGCTCATCATGTCTGAATGAACCCAAGGTCGGGTTCACGAGCAAGGCCAGACTCCAGGTCAGCATCAGGGGAACCCCACACAGCTTGCTTCTGTGCTCTTCTTCTCTGCTGCGGCCACAACAGAGACCGAAGCCGCCTCTTGCGAAGGACTCGCAGGGCCTCGTTCTGTCCGAAGCCCGGGGAAATCTAGAGAAAGCAGCGCTTGCGAGCAAAGCCTGGAGAGGCTGCCCTGCCTGGATTCTCGCTCGACTGAATGAAATGGCTCCGTGGCCAAGAGCAGCTTGAGAGAAAGTGTCTGGATGTCAGCCGAAAGGGGACGGAGGATGGGAAAAGGCCAAGTGTCCGTGGCCTTCACAGCCTACCATGTACCAGCTTTGTGGGAGGCAGGGGGAGATCCCTTTGGTAGCTCCATAAAATGCACACATTTCCAACCCTACAGGCAACCAGCAAGACCTTAAGCATCATGGGAGTTGTAGGCCAGAGGGAGCCAGGCTGCGGAAGGATGCAGGGGCCTTTGGGCTCTTGGAGTGCCTTTCTCTGAATAAAACACTCGGAGGTGAAAACTAACATGCAGCGCTCAACATCCGAGGCCTTTCTCTGGGGACGTGCGATTCAGAGCAAGGAGGAGACTTCTTTTTGCTGGGGCTCCAGCTATGGAACAATCTCCACACCAGGCACCAGCTTTGTCGTCCTCCTGGCACCATGTGAAGAGAGTCCCTTCCTGGGGGACTTTGGGCCAGTTGTGGAGTCTCGGCCCAACCCACCTTGCAAGGCTGATGTGAAGAGAAAAAGGAGAAGGAAGAGAGGCATAAATGCTGCCTTGGGCTCTTTGCTGGAGGAAAAAGCTGGGATGCGAGCACAATGCTAGACAAGCAATGAACGCGCGGGGGAAGGACTCACCACAGATCTGGGTTATCTGCACTGTTCTCGATACTGAATTGTTCGATTTCTGGTCCAACCTCAGCCACAAACTCAGCAAGCTTCTGAGCAGTTTCCATTGTTTTGGGGTCCACTGCAAACGGGAAAAGAAGCCATTAACTGGATGGAATGGTCAGGGAGCAACCCCGAGTGGGCTTTTTTGGAGTTCCACAATCAGGGAAAAAGGGGGGCAGCTGGAGCAAGGAGTGGGGGACGAGACAAGTTGATGGACACTGGGACACCTGACGGAGGCAACAAGAGGATTAACGTGGGGACGACAGGGGAAACCAGCCATGGGAAGCCCGATTGTGTGGGTCAGTGATGCCCAGTTCAATGGCCCGGGGGGGAGCCCGTCTCTTTCCAGCCCCCACCCCTTCTTCAGGTACACTCACCATCAGCAAACTGGCCCCTCAAGGACGGGCAGCTCTCTGGACGTCCTGGCAAGCCCTGAGGGCCAGAATCATCCCGCAAGGGCTGTGCCTCTTCTGGGCCAGGAGGGGCAGGGGCAGCTCTCCCTGAGGACGCGTTCTCCAGCACCTCCTTCACGCTGTGTGGCAGCTTCACCATCGTCCCAGCCGACAGTTGTGTCTGGGTCCCGGTGGTGGTGGTCTTCATTTTCCTGGTTCTCACCGCCCGCTGCAGGAGGCTGGGCTTCTTTCTGCGGAACAGCTTCTTCTTGATGCTGGCAACTTTCCTGGCGTGCAGTAGGACCCTCACGGTGTCCGACGTCTGCTGCCTGGGGGTCTTCTGCTTGGCACCTTCACTGGCTGCCGTCATGAGCCTTTCCATCTCGGACAGCTTCAGCTTGTAATATTTGTACTCCAGACTCTCTTCCTCGTGCAAAAACCTGCAAGATAGAACAGATTTTTGGCGTGGCGATCCCAGCATGCCTCTGATGAAGCCGATGGGGCCTGCGAAAGCTAAAGAAGCTGTACGGAGTGCTTTTTCATACAGGGGGCCATCCCCTGGCAGGAGCATGCTGGGAACCACAGGGCAGTTTTCGGTCTAAACGTAGGCCAAATCGCACCTTCAATGAAAGAGGGGCTAGATATCCTACAATGAGCTGGCAGAGCTGAGCAAGTCCCAAAAAATACCTAAAACAGCACCACAAGCCCACAGTCACCCCAAAGAGTATACGAAACATACAATTTAAATGTAGCCGAGTTTTTAACAGAGCATTTTATTGATACTGTGTGGCTTCGGGTGTAAAAATAAGCATTGTTATGCCTGTTCTGGATTATTATTATTATTTTTTTTGTTTTAAAGGCACACCCTTAAGGGCTGACAAATCTTTTTTCAGCCTGATTCAGGGCTGACAAATCTTTTTTCAGCCTGATTCAGCTTTGGGGAAGCTCTTGGAGACTAAATATGATATTTGAAAACTGCTCAGAGGGCTTTGGATATTGAGTACTATACAGTACATGAAATGAAATTCCAAGAGGTGGACCAAGCGCAAAAGAGGGCTGATATTTTAGCTTAAAGCTGTTACTGACCGTTATCAAGATTTAGGAGCAGCATGTGAAGCTAGGAAACTACCAAACAACTGGCGGCATGTTGGGAATGGTAGCCCAGCACATCTGGAAGGGTGTCGGGGGGGGAAGGTTGAAATTATTATTATTATTATTATTAGAACATTTCTATGCCGCCCCTTGCCGAAGCCTCGGGGCGGCTTACAACACAATAAAATACAATACAAAAATAACAATATAAAATTAAAATTAATAATATAAAATAAATAAAAATATAAATGATGTAAAAGGAGTTAGAAAAGTTATAAAAGAAAAGAAAAGAAAAGAAAAGAAAAGAAAAGAAAAGAAGTCGCCCTGGCCAGATAAATAAGTAAATATTGTTAACAATTAAAATGATGTTTAAATAAAAAGGTCTTCACCTGGCGCCGAAAAACAAATAACGAAATGTGGCCAGAATGCAGGACTGGGACTCAGGAGATCTGGGTCCAGCTCCCACTTCACCAGAAAGCTAACAGGGTGACTTTGGGCCAATCAAAGTCTCTTAGGCCAAATTATTTCACAGGGTTGCTGTTGTGAGGAAAGGATTTGAGAGGAGGAGGAGAATAATGTAGACCGCCTTGAGTTCCTTGGAAGGAGAAAAGGTGGGATATAAATGTAATAAATAGTGAAATATTCACCAGTACTCTGGGTTTGCATTTAAGTCTGTTTTCTCCTTTCCTTTCAGCATGCCAGAAATCATAGCGTTGACCAGTTTTTCAATTGTCTCAACAACTTTTCGATCAGCACGTTGGGGGACTGTAGAAACAAAGCACAGCAAACAGGATATATATACTAAGCACAACAAACAGGATATATATGCCACTATATGCAGACATATGAGCGCGCACACACATACACAGAGACACACACAAACAATACTAGAATATCAGTGAGAAAGACCAGGATATCCCTTGCGTGAAAATTTATTATGGACCTTGCAAGTGGAAGAGCCGCGCTCATTTCCAACCAACTGGCCTAATGAATAATTAGGAGCAATTATCATCCGTGATCTGCTGCATGCCAGGAGTCCTGGAACTGTGGTTTGTGGCACGATGTACATCTATGCTTGTAATTTGAGAAGAGAAGCAGGAATCCCATTCAGTTGCTTCTATACTCAGTTGCTTAGGGGCACTTTCTGCTCATTCTAGGAAACTGAGTATACGCCCCGGGAAGGCACCACGAGCTAATTTGGTTGCGAAAAGAGAGTTGTCCTAAGCAATCTTAAGGAAAAGATGAACCTTGACCGGCTATTTGGGATAAACCTGTGGAACTACAATCTTCTAAAACTGGCCCCTAGCCAGGGCTGTCTTAACAGTGTGATGGGCCCCGGGCAAAGCAGTGTCCTGGGGTCCCTACGACAACTACAACTGCTGTTAATTTTGCAAGTTTCCCCATTTCCCAAGGGTTAACAGACACAGATAAGTATGGGGCCCACGGGCAAGTGCCCACCAGGCCCATGCGTGAGGACAGCCCTGCCTCTAGCGCCCCCACTGAACATATTCCCAGGGCCCCTCCTTTGGCCACACCTTTTCAGCAACCCCGCTATCCCTTTCTATCAGCCAATGTTTGTCTTGCTTGTCAGAGGCCCAGTTCTGTGGCTCAAGTTGTTTACCATCCCCCTGCATGGATTAAATGGCTGACCCAGTGCCCAAATGTTTTGTGAACTGTGATCTAGGGAAGGCTATTGAAGGAAGAATGCCAATGCTTCTTCAATGGGAAGATCAAACATTGTTGTAAAAAAGTTACTATTACTAATCTAATTACTGCTACTAATCTAATTCCTAATTAGTTACTGCTACTAATCCTTCCACACAATATATTTTTAGTTTAATTAAATTTATTTACAGGCTGCCTTTAAGGTTGGAACCAAAGATGTCATACAAGATTTTTTCAAAAAAAATACAAAGTAGGTAGAATAAAAAATGAGAACGCTTCTGTATAGCCTGAAGTGCCTGATCCTGTTTAATCATGGAAGCTAAGCAAGGTCAGGCCCGGCTGAGGTCTGGATGGGTGACTTAAACATTGTGAATCACCCAGACAGCTTCGGCTATGAGTGGTATATCAATGTAATGCAATGGTAATAGTTGCAGTAAATGCATTTTCAATTAAAAAAACTGAATGGCCACTGCTGACAAGGTGATCTTGCTGTTCTTTCATTTACCTGTTTCCAACCTCCCCCTCCCTCCTATCACTCAGGCGTGCATCTCTAACACAAGATAGCACCAGTGCACTGAAGTTCTCAAAAGCTTAGTCCAGCCGACCACAACTTTAATAACTCCCTACCTGGTCCCTCCCTGATGCTTTGGACTTCAACACTCTGGAAAATGTTCTATGTTCTATTTTTCCTTCCTTTTCTTTTTAGTTTATAATGTTCAGTTTCATATGTTCTTAATAATTGTGGTTTTATTTTTTTATCATTTTAATTTTATACTGTGTGAGCCGTTCTGAGCGCTTGTACGGAGGGACGGGATACAAATGCTTGTAATACATAAATAAATAACAAACCCCTGTCAGCCCCAGCCAGCATGGCCAAGTGAGGAACCCTGGAGTCATTATGTAAAGCACCTGGACTAAACCAGGTCAGGAAAGAGTGGATTAGACTGTGAGGATTAGACAGAGAGGTGGAGGAGAAAGAGGATTTACCCACAAAACACACAGGGTGGCTTGGGACAGGGAATCAAAGGAGAGGCAGGCGATGAATGAAAGGGTTTTGGCCTCCTTACTTTTAGCCTTGGGCCTGCTTTCTGCAGCGTTCCGTTGGGTCTGCGCAGGAGGACTAGCACCTGCTTTCTTGAGGTGCATCTGGCAGCCGCTTGTATCGAGCCAGCTCTGCAGATGCTCAATGTACTCCCTTCCAAACAGTGCTGAGGTGTCAAAATTCGGGAACAACGTGGGTGACGGGGCCGACTCGAGGATGCTAAGGGCTTCCAGGATCTTCTCCTGCCGGAATGAACTTGCCAGAGCAAAGGTCTGCCCCAGGAGGGCCAGGGATTTGCGGCAGAGGGAGACCGTGCTCTCGAAAGCAGCGGCCATCTGTGCCGAGCTGCTGAAACTGCTCGTCTTAATGCTGAGCTCGTAGGCGTTGCAGGCCATGAGCAAAGGGGTGCTGCTCCTCAGCAGGTATTCCTGCATCCGCATCACGTATCGGTCAAACGGCTTGATCACATCAAAGAAGCAGTTCTTGGTCAGCACCACCCTCTTCTCCAACAGCATGTTCAGGAACTGGCTGTCCACTTTGGGTGTCCTCAGCGCTGCGTGTTGCAGCGTCCGGACGCTGGACAGGCAAAATTCCTGATGCTCTGGCTTCAGGGAGCACTTGAAGGAGGCCAGCATCTTGGCACAGGTCTCTGTCTCCAGGGTGAAGAGTACCCGGAAAAGCTCGGAATATTCCGGGTCCCTCTTGATCTCGTGGAAGCCAGCCCATTTAATGATCTCGATCCCAAATGTGGCGAAGATATCGGAAGGGTCCACAAGTTCCAGGCTGGGCTCCTTCTCTCGGGAGTACGCCAGAGGTTTTACAGGCTGCTGCAGTAGGCTGCCCCTTTGGGTACCCTGGTTTGTCCTCAGATTCTGCCGGGGATGAGGAGAAGGCATGGTTCTTGGCTTCGGCTGGTCCTGGGGGTCCACTAGTGGATTGTCAGCTTGAGACTCGCTTCTGGACTCCCACTTCTTGCCAGGGGTCGCTAGGAGCCCCTTGCTGTGTGCTGCATCACGTGCCTTTGCCTGCAGGCCCCTTCCCCTGGCAGCTGGCAAAGCGGAGGTGAATTCTCTCTTGGACTTGAGGCTGTGCTCTGCGTTGTAATCCTGACTGCTCGAGGCTCCATAGTTCTCTTCCAAAAGCCCAGGTGATCTGAAGTCGCTCAGCAGTTCATGAGACTCATAGTCAATCTCACGCCGCCGGGAGGATTCCCGAGATGTGAGGCGGCTGTAGTCCCGCTCCCGTGAGGAGGCAGAACGAGCATAGTCCCGGTCCTGGGAAGAAGAGCCACTGTAATTCCTTTCCAGCGAGGCCGAGTGGCCATATTCTCGGTCACGCAAAGGGGGCTGGCTGTAGTCTCGGGTCCGTGTAGATGGCTGGGTGTAGCTCTTAGTGTAGTAACTATCGTCCTCAGGGATGTGGTCGCAAGGTTGGTAGGTAGTCAGAGAAAAGTCTTCTCTTGCCTCTTCAAGCCAGTCGCACCGACGATACTTCCCATCCCTGTGTAAATCCTCTTCATCGGATTCATACTGGGCTCCTGATGGGGTCTCTGAGTTAACTGGAGAAAGACGCAGAAGGCAGCAATTGATCACTGAGTGAATAAGGTTGTAACCTCCTCTCCAAACCCAAAAAAGCTCAACTTGAAAAGAGAGGCACTGACCTTTTTGGAAAGGCCCACTAGTAAGCCCCACTCACTGACACTTTGGCTACTGAAATGTTCTCGCTTGCCCTCCCCTCCCTCTGTACGGATTGTGTTGAGACTTTATTTTCCAAAGCACTGACCCACCGCCCTTTTCTGAGAACATTCCTATTTTTCTACGGTCCTCTTCAGCTCCAGGCTAGGCCATCATTAGACACCAGGCACTGGATGACCCTGAAAGGACCGTACCCCCTTTTTTAAATGCCCCCACACCCCAGTCTGTTCTCAGAGACATCAAATGTAAACAGATATTAGCCAGCACTGCAAAGCAGAATTCCGAAGCACAACAGATATTTTTAGGTCATTTTGTCTAAAGGTCTAGTGGCACCAACTGGTTGCATGAATAGTCACCTAAAGCAGGAGGTGCTCGTGGGCCCATGTTCCCCAGACACCCTTCCATAGCTTCCACTATTGTGGCGCAACACATCCCCGTGTTTAATTAACTCATTCTTATGGGCAGCTGGTCAAATAGGTTTCTCCTGCTCCTGAAACTGTGGAACCAAATGAATCATTCATTGTGTGGGGACTCAAGACATCAACTCTGCCTTTTATGCATGGAGTTACTAGTCCTTTGCTCCCCTGGCAGCTATTTTGTGATGCTGCCTAGGTTGCTTACTCCTGTTAACTCCTACATGGGGTTGTAATTGCCAGGTCCTGTGGAAGAATAAATGTGTATTTAAGTTTTTAAAAATATGCGAGCCAGTGAAGTGTAATGGTTAAGAGCACAGGACTAGGACTCAGGAGACTGAGGTGTCTATAAGTCCCTCAAAGGCAGTCACAGAGAAGGAGGTCAAGATCTCTTCTTGCTGGTGCCAGAGTGCAGGACACGGAATAATCAATTCAAGTTGCGGCAACCCAGATTCAGGCTGGACATCAGAAAAAGTTTCCTCACTGTCAGAGCAATGTGACAGTGAAACCAGCTGCCTAGAGAGGTGGTGGGCTCTCCTACATGGGAGATATTCAGAAAGAAACTGGGCAGCCATCTGAGTGGGATGGTGTAATGTGGTGTCCTGCAACAGCAGGGGTTGGACCTGATGGCCTTCATGGCCCCTTCCAACTCTGCTATTCTACGAGGTTCTAGTCTCTGTTCAGCCATGGAGCTCACTGGGAAACTGCAACAGTCACAGCCCAGTCAACCTCACAGGATTGTTGTTTGTGGATAAGATTGAGAGAAGGTGAATTATGTAAGCCACCTTGCATTCCTTGGAAGAGGAAAAGGCAGGATGTAAAAACAACAGATGAATACAATTTCTGGTCTGTGCGTGAACAGCCATATTTTAACCCCTTGACCCACTAGGTTTTCAAGGTGCCAAGCTGAAGCTGGGCCAGGCCACCATAGTAACACCGGTGCTACCTCTAAGTTGACGGAGGGCTTCATCGATGGGATCACTTCCGTCTAGATGGTACTGTTTCGACTTGGCTTGCATGATGGCATCAATAGACGCCCGCATCATCCTTCGGGAAGCCATCTCGGCTCTGCAGTGAGAAACACTTACAAGTATGAGTTCCTCAAAGGATAGAGAACGGTCTACGTGTTGTGCCCATACGAAGGAGGCCCCGCTTTCCTGGCTTGCAGTCTTTCCAGCTAGCTAGTTCATGTTTGGAGTGGGATGAGAAGGGATGAGCAGAAGCTAACTGAAGTGGGGATAACAACAAGGTACCAGCAAAGGAAAAGGCCCTCTCTTCTTAAGTCACCACCTGCTTTGCCTCTCAGATCAACCCTGAGGAACATGTGACCCTCCAGAAGTTACTGGACCAGAGCGCCTGGCCTTACGCATTCTTGTTCCTGCTGAGAGTTGGAACCCTACAACATCTAGAGGGGAGTGCACATTTCCCATCCCTCTTGGCAGCTAGAGGAAAGACATCAGAGATGGCCTCAGAGGATCCAGGGTGCCGCTCAGCGTGCTGGACTGGGACTGGAAAGATCTGGGTTCCGCCTGCTCAGCCATGAACCCCACTGGGTGTCACTGGGCCAGCCTGACCTACCTCACAGGGGTGTTGTGACAAAATGGAGAAGATCAGTATTATGTATAAAGGGAGCCATCACTTTAACTTTGGAAGAGCTGAGCATGGCTTATCATTAAAGGGGAATTTTAGACAGTTTTCCTACATAGGGTCACCATAATTTGGAGAGAGCTTGATAGCCCGTAACCATAAAGCATGCAAGTTAGCATGTGCTCCTTGCGGAAGGGAAAACAGGCCAGATATGGCTGCAAATACACTAAGATAAGTGCAGTGAGTTTGGGCAAGGCATTGCCTGACAGGGTTGGTGTGAGGATAAAATGAAGAGCAGGACCCCTGTGGTAGGTGCACCCCGAGAGCCCCGCAAGACGAAGAACGAACGAGCACACAGCTAATGGTTAACAAAAGCCAGAGCAGGTTGCCAACTTACCGGGGTGGCCCTTGCACTCTTCAGTGCTGCCACCAACCAACTGCTGAGGACGCTTACCCGCTAAACTAATAAACCTCTCGCTCGCTGCACAGCAAGCAGGGCTGGGGAGGCAGAGGAGCTCCCCGAAAGGCAGTCGAGCAGCCCGAACGAGGCTGGAGTCAGTTGGCAACCCTCCCCAAGCCCACCTGCCTTTATCCCTCTCCCCGACCTCACACGGGAACGCTCACATGCACACGCTCCAAACTGAACAGGAAATGGAAAAGGCCCCCTAGTCTTTCTCTTTCAAACGCGGCGCCTTACCCAAAACAGCACCCGGACGCTCAAAAGCCTCTCAAAACAGAAGCGTTCATTAAGTGCCAGAACCTTTATTCACGCATGCGCCCGCGAAGAACGCCGACCTGCTAGCCGCCCCCTTTTTATGGTGGAAGGCGCCAGCCTTCTTCCGCGCACGCGCAGAAAGAGGCACGCCCCTCTCCTCTCCGCCTCGCCCACCGCCCGTCTTCGGCGCACGCGCAACGGGCCCATGGAACGCATGCGCAGTGAAGCAGTGAGTGTTTGGTGGGAACCATGCTAGTCCAGAGCATTATGTTAAAAACGCTACAAAATTATTATTGTCTGGTTATTAATTTTTCACCAAGCGCATGCGAAAGAAAGGGATCTTTTCGAGAGGACATGTGCAGAAGTTCCCTGGTTCTTCAGATAATCCTTCCCTCTCCTGTTTTTATCTGTCTAGCTGTCTGTAGTCTATATTCATTGACCATATTTCCTTACAACATGGCGGCCCAACATCCTGTAACCTCCCCTTTTTTCCCCTTTCTAATTCTTCCCATCCCTCTTTTTCCCAAAAGTCTTATCAAACGCGCACGCGCAGTGGGTTCCCCCCGCCCAACGCCGAAAAAACCACGCTTGCGCATCTTAGACCCTCTCAGAGGGGGCGCTGGGGTCGGACGGCCATTGGCCGACTCGCCTCTCGCGTCACGTGGCCCGGGATGTACGGTGGCTCCTTGCAGCCAAAAGTCTCTCGCTGCAGCTGCGGCTGTTGGACTTCGTCGGCGTTTGGTTTCCTGGCAGCCGCGCTGGGCTTATTGTAGCGGGGGCGGCTACGGCAAGCGCCGCGGGTCATACCGGGTAAGAGTTGCGAACGGAACTGCATCCTGAACCCGTCTCCCTGAAGCGCTACCTGTGTGTGCGCACTCCACACGTGCTCAGATGCGCTCTCTTCCCTGAGATCGTTTTATCTCTTTGTCGTTGCGTTAAGGGCAGAAGCAGCGACAGGGAAAGGAAGAGAAAGGCGGGGGAGCTCCGTGTATTCGCAGAGGCACTGTTTTTCTAGCGTGGCGTTGTACGTTTTGTCTCCATCCCAAAACCAGTAGAACGGGGGTTTTATAGGGAAAAAGGAAAGATGTTTCCGCGGCCAGTTGTACGTATTCCCTTCTCTCTTTCTCCGCTGCTGATGTTCTCAAAATCAAGCAGACTGAGGATCCTGAACCCTTCAGAAATAAGAGCAGAGGAAGACCGAGTTTAAAAGCCTGACCTTGAGAATCAGTTCATTTAGCTGCATCTCCCTTTCCTTCCAGCAGCCACTGCCCCTTTTCTAATTTTGTCCTCACAACCCTGCAAGGTAGGTTAGGTTGAGGGAGACACACTGACTATGCTCTGGTGGTTCTTTGAACTGTGGGTTATTGTGTTGTCAGCTGCTCGAACAAGGCATGGTTTGTTAACTGCAAACAACCCAATATGTGTTGTTGAATTGTGAACCGGGTGTTGTTGTTCATGGCTGGGTTCCAAGGAGATGATAACCCACATTTCAGTAACAACTCACAGTTCAACCATGATGTATATTCAAACTGTGTGCAAGGGGTGTGGATTTGTCTAAACCCAGTAGGTGTGTGTCAGTGACCTAGTTAGCTTTGTGGCCCGCTGGGAATCTGGACTGGGCTTTCTGTGTTCCTAGGATGCTTTCATGGCACTGCTGTCTTGCGTCATTCTCAGAATTTTAATAGCGCTTGGGGTGGGTGGGGGGGAAAGCTATGTGGATGACATTGTCTCCCACCAGATGACTCCTTGCTGTTTTCCCACCACAGAAAATCTGTAAGGGGACCAGATCAACATGTTTGCAGAGTATTTTTTGATTTACGGTGCCCAGAACCATATGTCTAGAATAGGGGCTTTGTCCTACAGTTTCCATCATCCTTTAACATTGCTCATGGGCAGAAAGGAGTAACAGGGCAAAGCATTTTGGCGTGTCGGAATTCCCACCCCTCCATGCAATATCCTGTGCATGTTTCTTGAAGAATCTGGACTTCTTTTTGCCCCATTCCCTATTATAATCTCTGGGAAGAATCTCTTCTTGGGATTGGTATTTGGAAGATGCTGCTGCTGCTGCTTTTCACTCTCTTTCCATGCTTTAGACCCAGATAAGTATGTGTTCGGATGTAAGTTATAGAAAGCACTTTATTTGGATTAAACCATGTGTTTTTGTGTAGGTCCCTTAGAGGCATTGATTTGCCTTCCTTCTCAGTGAGACTCTGTAATATGCTTATTAATGGCAATATATCAGGGTAATTTTAAAAGAAATATTTAAACAGTAAATTTGTGGATTACAATTAATGCTAGCAGAGGATTGTGTTAAAATCTGAATTCAGTTCAGACAAATATGTTACAGCAGTCCCCTGCCAGAACACCCATCATCCTTGGCCACGGGCCCTGCTGTCTTGAACTCATGAAAGTTGGATTCCAACAACATTTTGCCTTCCTTTACAGCTTGGAAAATCTTTCTTCTAAGGAAGGGACTGTCACTTAGTATGGCCAAGAGAAGGGATAAAAGATTTGAATATCCTGGTTGTGCCCCAGCCTAGGTTTCACCAATGACAGCCGATTTTGCATCTTAATAAGTCATTCAATTTTCTTGAGAGGTGGCCAGGTTGAACCTGTGGCAAGAAAAATACCGAAGAAATTGTTGGGCCCTTAAAAATGGTAAAGCTGCAGTGCTGTGCAGTTTTAGACAGGAAGAAATCCCTCAGCTTTCAGAGTATCCCTGCCTGCATGGACTGTTACTGCCTAAAGAGCTTGTGCCTTAACATTTATGATGGCTGTGTGGGGAGCTCTAAACAGTACACTCAGAATGAAAATGAGATGCAACTGCTACAAGCAGCTTTAATTATCAGGAGAAGCATCTTACAACATCAGTTGTTAGGGATAATGTCAACAGCCTGGCATCGGCAAAGTGCCCTTTGTTTGTTTTTCTGCTGGCATAGGAAATCCTGACCATGTTAAAAATACAGATTACTTTTGCATATAGAAAATTCTAGTGATGCATCTTTAATGCCAGATCATTCTTGTATACGTAGCTCTAAATTCTGTAGTCCGACAGGACAGCGTGGGTTGTATGACTGGACAGTTTTGATGATATTTCTCTGTCTACAGATACCAGAATAAATTTATATTGGTTTTTAAGATGCCACAAAACCCTCTTTTTCTTGCTGTATGAGATTAACATGGTTGTCCTCCTCATGAAATGAGTTGCATTTCTGCACAGGAAAAAGACTTTGCCTAGATGCAAAAACCGAAATGTGTTAATTGCGATGACATGCGCTCGTTCAGGCAGCCTGAGAATTGAAAAAGCAGGGGCCTTGCTTTAAATCTGTGTTGCATCTCAGCTTTTGTCCTTGGTGATGTTGAACTCTGGCGTAAAATGAAATTGGGTTGAAGAATATGTCTGCAGTGAAGTCAGCGCAATGGATGCTTAGCTGCTTTCAGGGTAAAAATTTCTGGGATATTTTCTTCTGCAGTGATGACCTCCAGTGAGGGGCATTCTGCCAAAGCTGCCTTTGCTGTTGCTCAGCAAATTTCTTCCCTTCCCACCAGCCCCACATTTTTTTTTTTTTTGAGCTTGTTCCGGAAAAAGCACATCTGTGCTTTTGCAGATGAAAAACAGTGGATGCTGCTTGTGCATTGGTATTGGAATAAAGGAATTATTCAGGAGCTTTTCTTTCCTGTTATCAAGACTTCCATCAGCTCTGCTGAAAGACCATCTCCTTTGGGTCCCCTCTGCCTTAACTGTTGCTATGCAGCAGCCGGTTCATCAAGCTGAAGCAGCAGGAGGCATGGGGAATCAGGGCAGTTCCATCAGACAGCCTGTTCTTCTCCTTCACCTGAAATCACTTCCATTCTATATAGTCATTTCTAGGCATTACTACCGAATAGTCAAAATAGCTTGACTTTGCTGACTTGTGCCTTCCTCTTCCCTCCCCCTCTCCTTTCCCTTTTCTGTTGTGCCTTTTGTAAGCCTGCAGGCAGAGAATGACCTGTTTGCTATTGATTATATGTAGGCCTGCCTGGGAAATTTTTCAGGTGAGGAACAGTGTAAGAATATGGCTTGAATGTTGTCAGAAGCACAGTCCCTTTTGACCTTCCTCAATCCCTGCCTCTATTATTTTGTTGTTGTTTGTTGTTAGTTGCTTAGTTGCGTCTGACCCATTGCGACCCCATGGGCAACACTTCTCCAGGCCCTCCTGTCCCCCACCATCCCCCGCAGTCCACCTAAGCTCACGCCGACTGATTCAGTGACCCCATCCAGCCCCCTCATCCTCTGCTGCCCCCTTCTTCTTTTGCCATCTATTGTTCCCAGCATCAGGCTCTTCTCCAGGGAGTCCCTCCTTCTCATTAGGGGGCCAAAGTATTTGAGCTTCACCTTCAGGATCTGGCCTTCTAAAGAGCAGTCAGGGTTGATCTCCTCCAGGACTGACCGGTTTGATCGCCTTGCGGTCCAAGGGACTCGCAGGAGTCTCCTCCAGCACCACAATTCAAGGGCCTCAATTCTTCGGTGCTCAGCCTTCCTTATGGTCCAACTCTCACAGCCATAAATTGTTGTTGTTCATTGCAAAGTTGTGCCCAACTCATCGCGACCCCATGGACAACACTCCTCCACGCCCTCCTGTCCTCCACCATCCCCCGGAGCCCACCCAAGCTCACGCCGACTGCCCCAGTGACCCCATCCAGCCACCTCATCCTCTGCTGTCCCCTTTTTCTTCTGCCTTCAATCCTTCCCAGCATCAGGGTCTTCTCCAGGGAGTCCTTCCTTCTCATTACTATTTTATTATTCTACTATTTTACTCCCTGCCATTCCCAAATCTCACTTCTGGTATGAAGATGGCCTTCATTTTAGAAAACATAAGCCCATACAGGCTTCCTTAAATGGTTCTCGTGTCTGCAGGCTGATAATCCGCGAGCTGAGCAAATCAACATGGCAGCCAGACGGATTACCCAGGACACATTTGATGATGTGGTGCAGGAAAACATCCTTGAGTTTGCGATGGATCCAGAAGAGGCAGTGAATGAAGCCATCCAGCAGTTTGAGTCTCAAGGTCTGTTTTTGCTGCTTGCTTGCTTGCTTTCATATCTTTACAAGAACCCCATGAGGTGGACCAGGGTGAGAGAGAGAGATACTGGCTTTGTAAGGCAGAAGGGCCTCCAAGGATGAGCTTGTGTGATGATTAATTACTTGTCAATAGATCCTCTGGAATCAGCTAAGAGAATTGCTTCTCTCTCTCTCCCTCTCCCTCTCCCTCTCCCTCTCCCTCTCCCTCTCCCTCTCTCTCTCTCTCCCCCCCCCCCTCCTCCAGGTGTGGATTTAAGCAACATTGTGAAGGCAGCCCGCAACCTTGCTCCGGAGAGTGGTCAAGAGCAAAAGCACGCTATCTTGCAGGTGAGGGGCATGCCCAGCACTCTGTGGGAAAGAACACAGGACCACCTGGCTGGATTAAGCCCAGATTCAGCCAAGCTGGGAGGACCAAGCAGTGACCGTGTAGGACTGGGATATGGGAGAGCGAGGTTCTAGTCCCCACTTTCAGCCTGACCAACCTTACAGGGCCCTTGGTGTGAGGATAAAATAGAGAGGACCACATAAAGTGCCTTGGGCTCCTGGCTGGAAAAAGAGGGGGTTTGGTTCTAATAAACCATAGCTCACTTTCTGGGTTCCAGCAGTGCCTGGCCTCAGTTGCTCTGGAAAGCTCACAGCCCGAGCAAAGGCTTATTCCAGCCAGGTTTCTCTTCACGTGACCACCGGGGAGATGTCCTGATGGGCGGTCCACAAGCAGGATGGGGAGGGAAGAGGAAACGTTTCGTCTTTTCATCAGGGCTGGTGGAATGGCCTGATCTCCCTTCTCGTTGGGGCCACTGGTAGAAGCGGTTGAGCAAGGAGGAGTCTCTGTGTGTATGGTTTTTCAGCTTGTCAGAAGGCTCTTCGGCACCAATAACAAAACTGGCCTAAAGATACCAAGATGCCCTTTTCCCTCTTCTCCTAGATATTGGACTGTCTCCAGAAAGCCATCATTGATGCCGACTCGGAGACGGTGGATGAGCTTCTGGTCCGATTTGCCAAGCAGTGCCATCAAGAGTTGGCCGTCCGCTACTTGGCAGGGGAGAAAGGTGCCTATCCCGCCATGATGGCTGCTTGCCGGCTGGCGGCCGAGGACCGGCACTCGCTTTTCAAAGCCCTCCATGCCCTCTCGGCACTCCTGGACGGCCAGCCTGACCTGCTTGATGCTGCTGGGCAGGAGCTGCTTCTCCGGGTCCTGCAGGAGAGCGGAGACGATGCCGACCTGACTCTTGCCGGGATCCGTTGCATCCGGCACGCCTGCCTGAAACACGAGCAGAATCGGCAAGATCTGGTGAAAGGCGGCGTTCTCCCACTGCTGGCTGGAGCGATCGTCCGCCATGGTGACCGCGCTGATGTAGTCCGCGAGGCCTGTTCCGGGCTGCGGATCATGACCTTTGACGATGACATCCGGGTGCCCTTCGGTCATGCCCATGACCATGCCAAGATGATTGTGGTGGAACACAACGGCCTGAGGATCCTTATAGAAGCTGCCAAAGGTAGACAAGCTGGGCAGTTAATTTGTAATGCTATCTTTGTACTGAAGGCTGTTTCCATTCTTAAAAACCAGGAGACTGACTGGAAGGTCTCGGGCTGATTTGTAATATTTTATTTATTTAAAACTTTTCTATCCCATCTACCACTGATGTCTCAGGATAACTTACAATAAGGAACAAACACAACTTCCAGCAGTCAAGATAAGCCCACCAGTAAAAAGCAACTGAACATTAAAATAGTGGGTAAATGAAAAGGTTTTCACTTGACGCTGAAAAGAATAAAGCGTCAGTGCCAAGGGAGCCTCTCTGGGGAGTGATTTCCACAATTGGGGTGGAGAAGACCCTTCTCTGGGTAGCCACCCTCCTGATCTTCTTCTAGGAGGGCTCCTGGAGCAGGACCTCCCCCTCACCTCTCAAGGGTGATTGTCAAGGGTGCTGCATTCCTGGAATAAAACGTGTTCCTCCTTGAATTAGCTCCAAAACGACTTTCAGCCCAAGGGCCACCTTCCATTGCAGAAAAGTTCTTGGTGGCGGTGTTCCTGGGCAAGTGGGTTGAAGGCAAACATTGTGGGGTCAGAATCCATCTTGGCTCAAAGCTTTTCCTATTCGCAACTCAGCCTCTGGAGAGCAATTTCCCCTTTCAGAATGAGGAGAAAATTACACAAATGCCAGGAAGCTTGAGGGTGGGGAGCGTCCTTCTGGAAAATCCCCCGTTTGCCCCACTGGGTCTAAGGTGCTGCCTTCTGGGTTCAGGGAGAAAGCCAGGAGCTGATTCGGAGCCCACAGGCTTGTGACCTGGGATTCGGTCCCTTGCCGATTCGGACTGAGCATCTGCTTTGAGGCAAAAGTGCTCCTTCGCTTTTTGCGCAAGTCCATCTGTCTGAACTTTTGCCTATTTGTTTCACAGTCGCACTTTCTATTTTAGTTTCCTTTTTTTTCTTTTAGTTCATACATTCAATTTTAAATGTTTTAATAACTGTAGTTTTAATAATGCATTTTAGAATTTTATATTATGTAAGCCATCCTGAGCGCTTCCCTGGAACGGCGGGATATAAATGCTTGTAATGAGCCAGTGTGGTGTAGTGCCAGTGTGAGAGCCAGTGTGGTGTAGTGGTTAGAGCGTGGGACTGGGACTCAGAGGATCCGGGTTCGAGTCCCCGCTCGGCCATGGAGCCAACTGGGGAGCTTTGGGCCAGTCACAGACTCTCAGCCCAGCCTACCTCACAGGGTTGTTGTGGGGATAGGATAGAGGAGGAGAATGATGTAAGCTGCCTTGAGCACTTTGTAGGAAAAATGCAGGTTATAAATCGGAAAATAAATAAATCCATAATAATAAATACCGCAGAATTTCGCTAGGAAACCAGGCTGTTCCTAACAATCCTGAGGTCTGACTGGGAAACTTGATAAAATAATTGACTGACAAAGAAAAAATTGGTAGCCTTGACAAATGCCTGTGGCAACAGATATTGCCAGAAGGTCTAAGGGAGGGGGCATTGCTGTGTTTTGCCCTGCGTAGTCTTGCCTAGAACTGGCAAGTTCAGAATGCAGATGTAACCCCATTTTTACCCGAGGGCTGATTCCTCGGTGTCACATATAAAATACTTCCTGCTAAATATTCTGCGCTCCAGCCATCCAGATTCTGCACCCAAGCTGGATTCCGCAACTAGCCCACATCACACAACTTTGGCCAACTGTCTTGTTCAAAAGCAGTTTCTTTTCCCTGATGTTTAATCCCAGTCTGCTTTTGCCGGGTGAAGGGAAAAGCCACTGGAGATCTTGTTCGGCCTCCCTGCTGAATTCTGTGATTTCCCAGGTGCTGCCTAAGGACTTGCAGCTCTATCTAGACTGCCATTTTACAGAACGTATTAAGTATTTTTGTTTGTGCCTCTCTCTCACAGGATGTACCCAGTGCAGCTTCTGCAAACAAACAGAGCAATACAAGCAAGGAGAATTTGGGGCATCTGATCTCAATTTCTGACTTATTTTCTGCTTTTAAAGGATGCCTTCAGGAACCTCACTATTAAACTGCTAACATCCTGTGCTTTTTTTGAACATGCTCCATACCATGTACGGAAGGCCCTACAATTAACGATCAAAACGTCTTACTGCTTTTTCTTTCTCTACTCAGTTTTCACTGACGATTGCAGCGTTTTGAGTGAAATCTGCGCCACGTTGGCACGGCTGGCTGTCCGGAACGAGTTTTGTCAAGAGATTGTGGACCTGGGAGGCTTGAACTTCATAGTGGCGCTCTTGGCTGACTGCATCGAGCATCAGGTACTGGGGATGTCGGAAGCTGCTGCATGGCTTTGGTCGCATCCCTTTGTTCACGAAGGCTCCTTTCCCGTCACTTGTTCTCTGGATTGGGGCTACGATGTAAAATTGGATGGGACACCCAAAAACTGTAGGCAACAGAACCAGCATTTGAAATTCTTTGCCTGGGGAGATTGGGCAGGAAATAACAGGATGAATGCAGCATGCAAAGAGATCAGACTAAGGTCCGTCTGTTCTCATTAAGGCCAACCAGTTACCTCAAACGGAGCTCCACACGCTGGACCCCACGGGCCTGTTACCGTGTTTGATATGCTATGAGTTGTGGGCCTTTCTTCTGCCTAAAGTTCATTAGCAGCTTGTTGTTGCTAGTTGCGAAGTTGCATCTGACCCATCGCAACCCCATAGACAACATTCTTCCAGGCCTTCCTGTCCCCTACCATCCTTGGAATCCACTTAAGCTTCAATGACTCCGTCCAGCCACCTCATCCTCTGCCGTCCCCTCCTTCTTTTGCCATCAATTGTTCCCAGCATCAGGCTCTTCTCCAGGGAGTCCTTCCTTCTCATTAGGTGGCCAAAGTATCTGAGCTTCATCTTCAGGATGTGGCCTTCTAAAGAGCAGTCAGGGTTGATCTCCTCTAGGACTGACCGGTTTGATCTCCTTGCGGTCCAAGGGACTCACAGGAGTCTCCTCCAGCACCACAATCCAAAGGCCTCAATTCTTCAGCGCTCAGCCTTCCTCATGGTCCAGCTTTCACAGCCATACATTGCAACTGGGAAAACCATTGCCTTGACTATACGCACTTTTGTTGGCAGGGTGACATCTCTGCTTTTTAATATGCTGTCTAGACTTGCCATAGCTTTCCTCCCCAGGAGCAAGCGTCTTTCAATTTCTTGGCTGCAGT